ATAAACGTCACATAATATTAGGCACACTATGTAGGTCAAGAATGTAGGTCATGTAACGTACTTTACATTTTAATTCGTCACATTATACTCAAGATGCTTCATTTACCTGTCCCGGGCTCGATGTGCACACAGATACATTTTGTTACTGTATTATAAAAACAAAGACCCTGTATTTTTAAATCGATCTACCAACAAGTAGACCTACTAACAATACATTCAAAAGTCTTTTTTGTCTCTTTGTCTTCATATCTCTCACTCCCTTCGCACAAGAATCAAGGGCTTGAAGTGAATTTTTTAGGGGCCCATATATATATATATATATATATATATATATATATATATATATATATATATATATATATGTGTGTGTGTGTGTGTGTGTGTGTGTGTTAATGAAAAACAATAAGTAAACAAATGCTAATAAAAATACGCTAGTATTCCAAGATAGGAAAAAAAATGTCAACTGATGGGTGTAGTGGCGTAGATTGCAGGTGTAGGGTTGACAATGCACGTGACCAGACTAAACAGGTTTTGACAATCGTCGAAGCACGTGTTAGATTTTACAACGACATCACTAGGGTAAGGTGTAGCAGCCACGTATGTATTTGAACTGGGTTGACCGTAGTGGGGACAGACTGTGAAAGCCGGAGAAGTTTATTAGCAGGGTCTGACATTTTAATCAGGTACCCCAGAACTGTGGTGACATGCATATTAGATTAGGCTTGATGGGGAAGACAAGAAGCCAGGAAAGTGAAGGTTAGATAGAGTTGACGCTGGACAGTTAAGGAGAAAGGACATAGACGAGTGTCGAGTCAGAAAACAGTGTAGTGACGCTAGTTGTAGGGAACATTGAACTGTAGGCATAGGCGTAGTGGACGCTAATCCCAAAGTACTACAACGGATCATCATATTCAATCATCACATGTATCATATTTAAATGTTGTGTATAAAAAGCCGATCTTTGAGTTTCATTGAATGCACGGAAATAAGTACGATCTCGTCCTCGTCACAGATATAGTCTATATGTGTGGAGACTGCTAGTGTTTGTTCATATTTAAGAAGGGAATGCATATAGAGAAAGAATCCCCGCAACTTAGTGGGTGAACCCAGCCTAGGCTGTCTATCTACCTATATATAGGCATAGATATTATATATGTAAGCACATGTTGTCGTCTGTAAAATATGGTCACGGACGGCTGCTTTCACAGGGCAGATAGTCTTTCAATTATCGTAAGCTACTGATGGTGTTTTAAAGAAAACTTTATAGGTAACAAGCTTTTAAGTGCACAGAAAGTAAAATGAAATTAATATTTTTAAATATCATAGATTTAACGCTGGTGGTTCGCTAGCTCTCCCTGATCACAAACACAGCGTATAGTTTATAAAGGCAAACACAAAGCTCTTCCTTTTTACAAAAGAATGTTGAAACTTACTTGGCATAAGCTTTCTCTAGAAGGCATGGCCAAAACTCGTTGGGTGCTGATGTATTGCTACAGTACATCAGTTTCCCATCGCGTGTTGGCAGATAGTCATCCACAACAACTTCACGCCAGCCTCCATTCAGGAAAAAGTTGAACCGGAACTTTCCTTGTAAATTAATGATGCAGCTAAGTTAGCATATTTATAACAGTTCATTGGGAAAAGAGATACGTAACATGTGGTAGTAACCTAACCCTAAACATTAAAGTATTAGGGTAGGATATATAGAAAGCTTAAAAAGAACAACATAAACCTCATATTTGTTTGCTCTCATAGCAAACACACATTACAAAATGTATACAACAGTTCAAATTATGCTCAACATTTTTAGCTAAAATAATCAAAAGTAATAAAACGTTTTACTGGTGTTTTCGAGTCTTTTACCGACACTCATGCAAAGTGGAATATTAAACTACTATTAAAGTATGCGATTAAATCCCTTTAATGGTATTTCCGCGAAGGATATTTCAATGCAAGGTATTTTCGTTTTCACAACGGGTATTCCCTTAACTTAAGCATTAGTTTTGTGAATTGTATACAAAGTGTAAGTTCAGCGCTGGATTCTGTAAAATGAGGTTTCTTTTTTCAAATGTATGACATTACATACAAATTATACCTCTTATGAGCGTAAAAAATTAAAACGTGCTGTAAAAAAAAAATACGAGAAGAAAACATGACTCAAGTCATCTACAGAATCGTTTACCTGTGTATCCCCCATGAAAATATTGGTCTCTGGGCACAACTCTGTCAAACGCCTGTTGGTGATGTGTGGCCAACGCTGCTGCCGAGGCCAAGAACCAACAGTTTCCTGAGGACATGAGTGAAAGGTTGGAGGATAGCGAGCGTGATAGACAGGTTATATTATTAAGCAGGGGCGGAACTTTCCAGTCTTTCTTTCAAAATAAAATTCTTGGGAGGGGGGGGGGGGGTACTAAATTTTACCTGGGGGCGGACACTGGTAAAAGTATATATTCTCTATATAAATTTCATTTCATTCAGGGGAGGGGGTAGAAGAGATGCCTGAAAGAAACTCAGGAACTACCATGACGCCAGACCCAGACGTGAGATTGTACGCTAGAGACAATTGGTTGATCCCTCTTCCAGCGGAACTAGTTGAACTTCTGTCGGCTGCCGAAATAACTACAGATGGTGTCCTTGGAGCAGCGGTATTGTTTATATTCGTCGTCAACTTTATTAGATCGCTAAATTATTCTATTTGATAATGCATAACTACTAAAATAAATATATCGTCTTCAATTCTCGGAAGTTCACTTATCGCGGATAGGCCTAGAACTCTATAATACTTCCTGTTTTTTGAGGTTACATTGACATTAAATTCCCTGCAAGTTGGCCTTTTTTTGACTTAATTCTCCCTTTTGACCCAATACTTACCTAATTCCCCCTGGTCAATGTCATGTCTAGATGCGTCTTCCACGATAAATTTTGGGTTGGCCTCAATCATCTAGAAGAAATATAATGGTTGTAATCAATCAGCAACACATTCACGAGCCAGATAACATTTAAAATCTTGATTGAATCTCTAACCCTATAAGGGTTAGGGGTACGGGTTAGGCATTATGACTGTATCGATTGAACATAACTCGTTAAAGTATTTTCTAGGAATGGCTAATAGAACCCTGTATTTAAAAAATGTGGCATTTCTGTTATGATTTCAAGTATCATGCAGATAATTCTTTTTTACAAGCTTTTTTTGAGTTCGCAACGTCAGTTTGTTTGTTTGTTTGTTTGTTTGTTTGTTTGTTTGTTTGTTTGTTTGTTTGTTTGTTTGTTTGTTTGTTTGTTTGTTTGTTTGTTTGTTTGTTTGTTTGTTTGTTTGTTTGTTTGTGGGTTTGTGGCAAGTCTTGTAAAGCAATTTTTACCCACTTCTAATTCAGCTATTGTGTTAGAGGTTCTTATGTATGTTCCACTTCGATGACAATACAAGTCTATGTATTTTTTAATTTAATTAGATTTTTAATTAGTCATTAAAATTAACTAAACGGTTTCAAAACTAAGGGGAGACAAAATTAAATAGCTCCACAAATTACTATATTCAATAACAGAAGGAGAGATGACTAACTAAACGCATTCACACTAACAGTCTGGTGAACTGAGGTGCACGAGAATGTTTACAAAGCGTAAAGGCTATTACGGGCAGATAATGAACGTTTTTATATGATTTGAAACTAAGGGGAGTTAACAAAGTTAAGATCTTGTTGTCGTCTGTAAAATATGGACACGGACGGCTGCTTTCATAGGGCAGATAGTCTTTCAGATATCGTAAGCTACTGATGGTGTTTTAAAGAAAATATTTGTATTCGTGTCGACGTCATAAATTAGGAATCACTAAAAAGTAGAAAATAAAACAAATATAAAACAAAACTTTATAGGAACAAGCTTTTAAGTGCACAGAAAATAAGATAAAATTAATTGGTTTTTTGTTTTTTCATAAAAGCTTCTGTTGCTCATGAGATCTATTACATATTTTAGCGATAAAAGCTTTTATGAAAAAACAAGTAATTTAAAAAAGTCTAGTGACAATTTTAGCGCAATTTCCTTGTGTTATCTAAAAATTGCTCTGTCGTAGCGTAAATCAAGAGCAGGGTTAGTAAAACCATTGGTTAGTTATTAAAACGTTTTTTATTAAAGAAAATTTCAGTATTTTACATGTTTTATTTACAATAGAGTAACATGAATAAAAACCATTGCGCGCCTAGCTACTGAACATGATGACGCAGCCATTGAACGTGATGGCGCAGCTATTGAACGTGATGACGCGTGTGGTGTGGTTGCATAAAATGCCTACTAATTCGGTCCAAATTTAATTCAAAAAAATTTTTGTGACCGAACGAAAGGATATTTTTGAAAACTTTCTTCGGCAATATTGTTCTAAATTATGGCAGGAATCGATTGGTACATGTTTCAAGTCGCTAAGTGGTCTGGTTGCCGAGATATGGGCCAAAAACTGCATTTTTTTCGAGGTTTTTTGGCTTTTCCGGGAAATCCATGAAAGAAACCCGGAATTTTTATGGCCTATGTTCATCCTCGTAACTTGCTTAACATAATTGCTTTTGGAACTAGTCCTCGATATTGCTTCGTTGAAGAGGAGATACGACTTAAAGCTGCGGACACACATCCATCAATTCATCCATTCCTAGAAAAGACGAGTTAATAAACGCAATTCTCCAGAATGGAAATTGCGCTAAAAACAAATTAGTTTAATTTTTTTTTATTTGTTGTGCATTTAATAGCTTGTTTCTATAAAGATTTTTTTTTTATATTTGTTTTATTGACTATTAATGAATTCCGTTCATTATTCTAATATTGGGTTACGAGCTGACCCGCGACGCCATCTAGTTGTTTTATTTTCTGCTTATCAGCAATTCATAGTTTGTGAATTCAACACTAACCCCCCCCCCCCCCTTCCAGCTCAGTGAAAGCAGCCGTTTACAAAGAAAAGATCAATCAAAAATTGTTACCTCCCCTTCGTTTCAAGTCGTTTAGTACTAAATTATCTGCCCCTAATAGGGCTGGTAAGTAGGTCACCAACCATTTATGTGGCTCATGCATGTTTTATTGAGCCGGAGAGCTGGTGACCTACTTACCAGCCCTATAGCAGTCACTAACCCGGCTATACGATTGCAAACATTCGGGGTGAAACAAAGCTCACCTGACAGGTGGGGATGAGGGTGGAGGCTAAGCTGCGTGGTGTTTTCTATGGTCTCCATGAAGAGAATTATATATATATTTATATATAGATACTTATCCGTTGTTAGGATACATTGCTCGATTGGTGGATTACATTATTAAATTACATTATTAGTTTGGGGTATTAGTTTTCGAATTACATATTACATTATTTAACTAGTGGATTAAATTAATCCATAATTGGATAACATTTATGCAGTAGTGAATTTTATCAATCCATTAGTGGATTACACTCCTAGAGTTATTTGAATATTTTGGCAGAAGAAATTACTTTGACGTGTTTTTACTACCGTTTCTTTAGTTAGTGTTGTTATACGATTGACTTTATCCTATTCACACCGCCAACACACAACAGTATATGTGGCTGTTTGTATGTGTATGTATTAGTGGTCAGGGGCGTAGTGCTGACCACACTATCTCTTCATATGCCGAGCTCACAGAAACAAGTGAACTCTACTTCACTTGGCCTATAGACCGTCAGGTTTGAAAGGAAAACTTAGTAGCCAGTGACCATTAACAAGTAAAACTCAGCTAATGTTAGATATCATGATCCACTTGGTAAAACATATTATTTCAGTTTCAACAATATGTCAATAGCCTCGTCCGAGCTGGCGGCATCACAAAGATATAAAATTAAATGAATATCCGTTGAACGAGTTCAATGCTTCACAGATATGTATCTAGTCCTAACGGCTCAATAAATGATTGTAAAAAACTGATTTTTATACAAACTTACCCAAGGACGCCTCCATTCAATTGATCCTGCGTTTGGTGGCAGTGTAGCCAAGGTAGTAGACAGAGATTTTATGTTTGGGGGGAAATCTTTGTCGGTAAAATATTGCATTCTCGAGTCTCGACTCTTTCTTAACTTTCTCAAGCACTGTGTTTGCAAGCAAATGACAGCCCAAGAAGTTTCGAATGACCTAACGCAATTTAAATTATACTTGGAGTGATCACTACCTCCAGAAATAAAACTGTTTTAAGCTTCGCGGTAAGAAGTTTCCAGAATATCCGATTACGTGGCGTGTCAATTTTCGGAACTCGTTTTCAAACGGGAATTTTTATTTTGACACTGTAGCCTCTAATGGTAAATGTGTGTCTGTTAAATGTGTTTTCTATGTATTGAATAGCTGAATCCACAACCAGCCTTCAACAACTTCACCCCTCCCCGCCACTTTCGATTTTACGAAACTAACACTATTATTAGACGCGTCATCATAAAATAATGCGCAGTGGACTTTCCTGGTCGTTTGAATACAAGTCGGGAATTCCTGAAGAAAATTGTATTCGTTATTTACCAGTACTAAGTTTTATTCAGCTGAAATCCAATATAAACATTTATGTCTCAATCCTTTATATATAGATACACGTTTAGATGTTTATAAATCTAGACGTTCTACACCTTCATTAATCGGAAAACACTATTTTAACAATTTTTCCTACGTGTGTATGTGTATAAGAGAGAAAGAGAGAGAGAGAGAGAGAGAATGAATATCTTGAGTACTCTTTAGACGAAATTTTATGTAGGCCTATAGGTATTCTGTCCAATTTATAAGTTTCTGTTAACTTTTGAGCGATTTCCGTTCAACGGGAGTGGTATTTACTCCCCCCCCCCCCCACTATATTCTATCAACGTATTTTCACGGAAACCGAGTTGTTTATCAAGTGATTGGGTATTGAAAAAACATTTATTTTGTAGTGAACTACTTTAGCAAACGGACACAAACCGTAATTTGTTGTTTTTTTTTTCATTTGAAAATTCTAGTTCTATAACTGTGTTAAAATAGTCTCCGTGCTGATTTGGCGTAGATATACTTGTATTCTTATAATTCCACAATTAGTGTTTTTAAACATATCCCTGTGAAATTACAAAGATAGTATAGTTTTGGAAGAGTTGGAAAAGACTGGCAAGCAATGAGTAAACAATATTATTTTTCTTTTGATAGATTATATAATTTATTGAGTAGTATTTTTATTCAAAAAAATCTATTAGACAACAAACATAACAGTATAAAATACATATCAATGAACATTTATTTTGTAGTGAACTACTTTAGTAAACGGACACAAACCGTAATTTGTTGTTTTTTTTTCATTTGAAAATTCTAGTTCTATAACTGTGTTAAAATAGTCTCCGTGCTGATTTGGCGTAGATATACTTGTATTCTTATAATTCCACAATTAGTGTTTTTAAACATATCCCTGTGAAATTACAAAGATAGTATAGTTTTGGAAGAGTTGGAAAAGACTGGCAAGCAATGAGTAAACAATATTATTTTTCTTTTGATAGATTATATAATTTATTGAGTAGTATTTTTATTCAAAAAATCTATTAGACAACAAACATAACAGTATAAAATACATATCAATGAACATAGAAGTCACATCATCGATGTACATGTGAAAACGAAGTGTATTGTAAATCTGTATCAGTACTCACAAGCCGATGATAAAAACTAATACTAAAGCTAACAATTCAAGGCAAACATACGCTGTGTGTACGTCACATGTCTGAGACAAAAACATGTTGTATATGTATAGTTTTTATTGGTGTTAGTTTCTGAACTGTTTGAGAGTGATACAGTCTGCTAAGCTAATACAAACAAAAAATCTCATTACAAAAAAAAAATTTGATTGTTTGTAAACCAAATCTAACACCCAGTAGCCAATCCAGGGGGGGGGGGGGGGGTAAGTATTAGTTTGTGTCTTAGTATTTTAAAAATGCAGTAAAATGCATAGTTAATATAATAGAAATCAGTGGCGTAGCCAGGATCGTCTCAAGGGGGGGGGGGGTTCCAAATTTTACCCGGGGATAAACTTTCGATTTGCACCCCCCCCCCCCTCAAACTTTCGATTTGCACCCCCCCCCCCCTCAAACTTTCGATTTGCACCCCCCCCCCTCAAACTTTCGATTTGCACCCCCCCTCATACTTTTTATATATACCGAGGGGTCTATGGGGGGGGGGTATGACCCCCCCTAACCCCCCCCCCTGCCTACGCCACTGATAGAAATATTAATTTACTGCCGGTAGTTTATTCTTTACAAAATCCGTATGTAATTTAAAAATTAAAAACGATTGCTGTGAACATCTTATTGTACATTTTTATTTTGCTGTAGAAAAGACCTTGTTAAATACTTTTGAAAACAACATAGGTTATAGGAAAAAGTGTTGGGAATGTGTCACCTTTGAAATTGTGTGGGAAAGATAGACCCAATAAGACTCTACTCCAAATTTCTGCAATTTATTCCTAAAGTGTAAATTTGATGGCGTTTGATGACATTGAAGTTTGAGTACCATGAATGTGCAAATTGTTATACATAGCAAATGTTAATCTCGTGGAAATTCCTCACAAAGTCCTTAAATTCCATCCTGGAACAAATGTAAATATTTATTCTCTTTTTTTTTAGACTGTAGTATTTACACAGTTGTAACAAAAATGAATTTAATAGTAGTCTAGTTGTATCCGTCCCTAAGTATCACTCATCCAGTCTACATTGTCCACCTTGTGATTCCCATATCACATTCACCATCTCCAGGCGACAAGAAATTTTTCCATCTCATCTATGTCAGATTCAGGAGGCGAGGATAAATTCAACTTATTCACTGGTTTCATGTCAATGAAATACCCCTTCGAACCTGACGATGTATGGGGCAGGTGAAATTGAGTTCACATGTTTCGGTGATCTCGGCATATGAAGGGATAGGGTGGTCAGCATATGCAAAGCCGCCTTTACTTTTTCTAACGTGAGTCAGATACCTATCAGAGTACGTTCATGGATGTTCTACAGACAAGAACCCAGGATTCGAACTCGAGTCTTTTGGGATGGCTTTCATATGATCTAACATTCGACCACACCGTTCCTGGTTTCGTGTAGGCAGAGTAATATAAAATGTTTAAAATACGAAAACAGTTTGATACAATCAGACTTACCAGAATTCGCCATCATCTTGAGTGTGGAATTTTAATTCCTCTTGTTGTCTCCTTGAAAGAGACGCCATCTCTCTGGAGCTGATAGAGAAGAAATGTTTATCTAGACATCTAGATATGTGTAATTACTGAACCTGGTAAAAATTTATGATCGAATTCTAAACTCTATTTCAACGTCGAATATTTACTGTCAGGTCATATAAGTGCACTGCTTAAAGTACACACAAAACATTCTCAGAACTACAAATATGAATAAAACGACAAATAATCGATAAAGATAAAGAGTTAATTGTAAAGTATTAACAATAATCAATAAGTAAAGTAAAACATGAATATGATAAACTCATCGCGGTCAGTAGGTAAACAAAAACTTGTGACTACCAAATGACCAGCGAGCTTTAAACACACATTGCTCTAGTCTTGAACATTTTAAAACCTCACTCTAAAACTTTCACATCTGTTCTATGTCAAGTCAGTACCAAGATAAACGTATAAACTGTGGGTCCACGTTTCTTTCGAAATTCTGGTAATATATGATACAACTGTAATTTGTGAAATATTTACCTGTCTGAATATACTGAGAAACCTGTAATGTGTGAAATATTTACCTGTCTGACCATGCACCGTTCCACTCCCCACACCCCCACGGGTTTCTGAGGCGAATCAAATTCACCACCCCTGCAGGAGTTGTCAGCTAGAACATAGCAATTTTATTTTTTAATTGGATTTCAAATGTAACGCTTTTTACATTTCATTGACCTTGTTTTAAAAATATATGTTTGTAAAATATTTCAAGAGAGATTCTATTTGAAGAAAATTTACCTGATGTAACTTGGTGACGCTGTAGGCGTGTCCTTTAACAAGACCGTTTGGCAACTGGCCATCTCCTGGTCCGTCGAGCTGTAATAAATTAACAGTAAATTACCCAACACAGGTTTATTCTTTGTTTAATGTAATCAAATAAAAGAATGACGAGTAAATTTCTAAAAACTTACAAATTCACACATACATACATACACACACACACACACAAACACATACACACAAATGCACACACAGCCGAAAGCAGGGAGAACGGTCGCTTTGCGTGAGATTACATACCGTATATGTACCTTATTGCGAGGTGTATTCAACTAAAACATGTAAAAGCTCTAAATACCTGTAAAGAAAATATATCACTGCATATCATAATTATAAACGGGAAGAAAACCTTAACTTACGTAAATGCCAGCAACAATCAATGCACCGTTGTCGCCTCCTTCTTGTAGGAAATGAAAAATTGCTGCACTGCCGAATTTATCGGCTCGTATGTCTCTGACGTTCACAGGACGACCAGTCAAATCTTGAAGAGCTTGTTTGATGTGACCCCCATTAAGATTCGCATAGCCGCCTTTAAATCTAATAATAATTAGATATATACATACACATACACATACTTATATATATATATATATATATATATATATATATATATATATATATATATATATATATATATATATATATATATACACATGTGTGTGTGTATTTATTTATAAATTAAAACAAAATTAATGACATGCATTCATTTCTAACAAAATATTATATTGTTTATTTGAAGGCAGCAATATATCAAAGTTAATCTTATGATCTTGAAATATTTTTCTATCTGGTAATGTACATTATTAACTAAAATTGGAGTATACTTAGAGATTAGTAGGCAAAGTTTCTTCCAGGCATCTCTTCGGGGGGGGGGGGGGGGGCGAAGCCCGTCCGAAAAAAATTTACCGCCCCCCCCCCCCCCCCGAACGAAATGAAATTTATATAATTTATATAGAAAATATATAAAATAGAATATATATATATATATATATATATATATATATATATATATATATATATATATATATATATATATATATATATATATATAGAAAATATATACTTTTAACAGTGTCCGCCCCCCCCCCCCCGAAGAAAGTCTACCCCCCCCCCCCGAAAATTTCAAGTGCCCCCCCCCCCCCCCCCCGGAGAAAAAAGTCATGTTTTTTATGCCATCTTCAGTTGGTTTTGTATTGCAAAAATAATTGGTTTCATTGTGTTTCATTGAGTTAAAAGTTGTTAAACCTTTCACAACCTACTTGGCATAAGCTTTTTCCAGGAGACAAGGCCAGAACTCGTTGGGTGTGGCTTTGTTACTGCAGTAGACAAGCTGACCTTGACTGGTTGGCAGACGGTCGTCTACATATACTGTCTGCTGGACGCCATTTGGGTAAAAGTTGAAGACAAATCTCCCTGAGATCATATTACACATGTACTCGGCGGGAACAAGTTGACAGTTTTACAAACAGAACTTAGTAAAAAAAAATCAAAGTTTATGAAGAAGTAATCTAAACCCTTAACTTTAACTTTTCTTGTTACGTTGAATGATTAACAAAGCAAATATTCATTTGCCCGAAACACTATCTCACTCAGATTTATGCAGGTTTTTTACAACGTTTATACAGTTGTTGTTAAACTGTGTGAGAGATATTATTTTATCTGGGGCTTTTTGTAAGAGCTCGTAAGATAATTTATAATAACAAAGTAAACTTTATATTAAGAAAAACATTTTTTTTTAATTTTAACAGAACAAAATGTATTATACATTTATTCGCAAAAAAAGGCGGTCATTGCTACGTTATGTATTTTCGGAAAAGAATAAATCCGCCATAATATAATGAAAACATCTAAGTCAAAAATTTAAAGATTAAACATTTTTCTAACACATAAATTAAAGCAAAACAGCTTAGAAAGAACGTTTATCAATGATTAATTAAAGAAAACAGAAACGTTAAAACCCCGGACGGAAGAATAATCTGGGATTATAAATCAATTATAACACCGTTTAACGTAGTTCTTTAGACCAAATGGACGATGTGAAGTAGAGCGTATCTCTTTTCTGCGCTCTGAGAGGATTCGAGACTATCAGTTTAGTAATTGTTCGATTTCCCGCTCGGTACTGCACTGTTTACCTATATATCCATCATTGAAGTTAAACGACTGGCCTGTGGGCACAACTCTGTGAAACGCCTCTGGGTGATGTGCTGCTAACGCTGCTGCTGAGGCCAGGAACCAACAGTTGCCTGAGGACACGAGGGAGGCATACAGGTGAGGGGGGGGGGGCAAGGAAGTAAAAGAAGGGAATAGAAGAGGCAAGAAGGTAAAGTTAGTGTGTGAGACAAAAATTGAAGAAAGTTAATGAGGAAGACTGGAGGTAAAAAATGTACAACGCTGAAAATTGAATTCTGCTTCAATTAGATACTCATCTCAATGATTAGTAAACGTTTAGTTATATTATTTGATTAAGAACTGTATATTAACAAATCCATACGTTGATATTTTTTTGTATTCGTTCTGCATATTTTTGTCCTATATTACACTCTATCTCCATGTTCTTAATCTTATATTGACCGTATTCTCCCTGTTGTTTCTCCCTATATTTACCTAAATCTGTCTGTTACGGGATCCAATATTTACCTAAATCTGTCTACGAGACACTATAGTTACCTAAATCTGTCTGTACAGGACTTTATAGTTACCTAATGCTCCCTGATCAATGTCGTGTCTTGAAGCGCCATCCACGATAAACTGAGGGTTACCGACTATCTCCTTGAAAGAGATGGATAATTAGGTTTTAACTTATTTATCGTATTCATTCATTAAAAATGACTGCCTGATTTTTTATGTACAAAAACAGTAACATTTTCTTAATGGACACCAGCGAGAAAAGTCTCAAAGGTATTTGAGAGGTCCATAAATTAATTTAAAAATCATGCACGGCGTAGTTACAATTAATATGGTTATAAAATCCTGTCTGTTTTTTTTTTCGGACTTTACTAAAGATTGGATGTATTTTATGTTTTTAATATTTTCGGTAACTAAATAAAAATTTAAAAAAAAAGCAAAAACAATTTGGTTTTCACGTGTAATGGCGACATAAACAATGGCCGCTTAAATTTTTTTGAACACATTGTAAGCTAAAAATAGAAAAAGTAGGTCATGGTGTTTAAATTTGCATAGTTATTTAAAAACTTGATCTGCAAAGTTTGGTAAACAAAATAACTATAAAGTGGGGCTGTCAGAAATCGATCACGGAGTTCCTTTACAGCCAATCAATGTTTGTCTTACGAAAGCGAAACATCGGGTTATAACTTAGGCTTGATGAAAATAAATAGAAATGTAGCCTTAAACTCAACAAATTATTTTCAAGTTCTCTGGATCTGCAACTTGTATAGCATTGATTCTAAGAATATTTAATTTCTGAATTAATTTTAGGCTTAAGCTTTTAATAAAATTTTATCTTTTATTATTTTTATGATCCTAAATCTAAAAATGCACATTTTTATTCCATGTCAACAACATTAGGGAAGGAATCTCGTCAACTCGCTGGCGTCCATTTCCAATCATGTTTTTGACTACAAGCTCAGTGGTCAAAAATAATTTTTAAAGCACTCCATGCCTTTTATATATTTGTGGATAATATTAATCCATCAGTGGATTACATTAATCTGTTTTTTTGGTTACATTAATTCATTAATAGATTAAATTCAAATTTTAATGGCTAACATGAATCCATAAAAGGATTGGATTGAACTGTTGGTAGATGTCTGATTTTATTCAGTTTCTCCCATAGTTCAAGTGTGGTTCCTTGCAGTGGCGTAGCGAGGTAGGGTGTCACCTGGTGCGGCACTTAATGGTGTCACCCCCCAGAGGCGCAGAGACCCTTCACGGGGACAAATTTCCCCCCTCAAGTTTTCGATTTGCAACCCCCCCCCCCCCCCTCAAGCTTTTCTCTATATATTTTGCTATTTTTTGCCTTGGTGTCACCCCCCCCCCTAAATGGTGTCACACGGTGCGGTCCGCACCCCCCGCCCCCCCCCCCCCCCCTCTCGCTACGCCCCTGGTTCCTTGTCCACTTAGCCAAGCATATCATTTCAGTAACATTCGGCAAAATATCTATCATTCGTTGTATGTGTCGTCATCACCAAAAAAAAAACAACATTAAAATTAATATGCGTTGCTCTGATTAAAATTCTTTATAGATCCAGCTCTGCTATTTAAATTAAACAATTAAACAAACACCGTATTAACTGAAGTTTTTTAAAAGTATAAACTTACCCTAGGACGTTTCCATGGCTCAGTGTCCGGAGGGAAGTCTGGATCAGTAAAATATTGCATTCTCTAGTGGTTGAAGTCCTTTTGTCACTACGCTCAGAACTCTTGCCTAGCTCTGTACAGCACAATGTTTCACAAACAAATGAAACCTCCACAGCAGTGGCGAACTAGAAAAAAAGGGCCACCCCGCAAAAAAAAATTTAGGCCCCCCCCCATATATATATATATATATATATATATATATATATATATATATATATATATATATATATATATATATAGTCCTATACATATATAGGCCCTATATATACAAACTCAAAATACGAACACATGATACTCATCATGGCCTGTTCGAGTTTTGAAAAAATCAAAACAAATTACATCAGCATGTCATGATTGTAAGTGCATTAGTGTGTTTTGTGAAAATCGGTTTTATCTTTGCTATAAGACCTCGTAACCTCTAGTCGGTCAAAAGAATATAAACCATGAAAGCTTTGTATATAAGTAATGGTGTCTCGTGTTATATTTATTTTTATGTTGTTTTTTTTAATTTACATTATTAATACATTTCCTTTTTATACAATGTCATTCTTTAGTAAGTACTTTATAAAAAAAATAATAATTAAGAGAAGTAATTGCTTTTTAATTTTTTTTAGTACAAATCTATTAAAATGAGCTTATGAGTACCCTTATTTGACTACTTAAAAAAGGGAAATAAGTTATGGAAGTGGTTTGAACGTTTGCTTATCTTTGATAAGTTTGTTTGTAGGAGAAAGGACTCGGCTTTCACAGTGGTTTAAAAACAAAGGGAAGAGAATATACAAGTGCGTGGGGGTGGTGTCTATAGAATAAAGATAATTCAACCGCAGCTACGGTAATCTTTTTACAAACAATCATCAAGTAAAAAAAATGCAAGAACATTGAAAAAAATTTAACTATAAAAAAATTATTATGGTCGGCCGTGGGCCCCTAAATGGCTTGGGCCCCCCCGCATTGCGGGGTCTGGCGGCACTGTAGTTCCGCCCCTGCTCCACAGGCGTATGGCTGACTCCGTCGTTAAAATCGAAACCAAAACTGTCAATAAAAAATTAAATAACAAGAGCTTCAAGCCCAGAGATTTCCAGTAGCTCTGTGAATACGCGATGAGTCATTCTAAAGATTCTTAGAACTCTGATTTCAAAATAGGATATGTTTTCATATTTATGTCGTTAAAGTGGATATTGTTTGTTAAATTAGTCGACGTTTTAGCGATCTACTAATAACAAAAATTAGCTCAAATTTATAATTAATTTACTAAATTGCTCAATCTTTAAGGGACATAACTTCAGGTTTGGATATGAAGGATATTCAAATTGGTTCATCTTTTATTATTGTGCACTAAATGCCTTCCACTCCCACACCTACCCCGTCCCCAGTAGTCCCAGTACCATCGATTTCACAGAACGGCTACTAAACACGTCACTAAAAAATTTAACTTCCAAGTTGGGATTTCCCTATTTGAGTTGACCTTTTCTTTAATTTAATAAAACAAACGCCAATGTAGTCGAAATATATGTTAGTAAAATACTCTGATTGTTCACATTTATTGTATGCGTTATTTAATTAGAGATGTGTTCTTGAATGATTCACAACATGGTTAATTACTATTAAAAATTCACTTCACAGAAATAATTTTTTCGGGCCTTAAAAGTGATGTATACTATTTTTATATATTTTAATTTGAAATGATATAACTATATTACAAGCTATTCAGTTGTTCGTTTTAACTTTCTAGTATGCAGAGTATAGAAGAAGTATTAGAATCATGAAAAACATTGAAATCAAGATTTTCACAAATCTCACCGTTTTACACCTCACTGAATCGGAAAAAGTTGGTTTGACAATTTTGTCCGTGTCTTTCTGTGTGGACGTAAACATCATAACCTGAGTACTAATTTAAGCTAGGTTGACGGAATTTCATATATAAATATTATATCATATGTGTACTATTCTATCAACTTCTCAGCGAATTCCGGTAACATAAAGTGATATTTACTTGAGTACAGTTTCAGTTAATATACGAAATTTCATATTTAAGTAAAATATCTTATTCTCTGGTTTCTATCAATTTTTAATTGATTTCCGGTGACCGGAAGTAGTACTACTTCAAGTCACCGGAAATACCCATAATTCGAGAGAATCAAGATAATAAGATCTTACACCTATGTAATTTAGTTCACCTAAATGAAACGATAGGCTACTTACGTTATCGATGCTTTAGAAACCGGAAAAAGCGGTAAAGTAACACTTCCTTATACTTGTATATAAAATGTCAACTAACTAAAAGAGTACTCAAGTTATGGTGTTTCCGGTTACCGGAAATCTTTTAAAAGTTCAAAGGAGTCTGAGCGCAAATTAGTACTAAAAATATGAAATTTCATCCTCTTAACTTCAATGGTGTTCTAGTTATTGGGTTATGAGAAACCGGAAGTAGAGTAAGTCCATCTCCCTTTAACGGTAAATCGCTCAAAAGTTAATATAGAACTAAAAAATGTATATAATGCTTATATATGAAATTTCGCCAACTTAAATGATGCCGTATTCAGGTTATCGTTTTCACAGAAAGATGCGGACAAAATTGCAATTATCCCAGTTTTCCCGTTTAGGAATAATGTAAATTGTCAAACGTAGTTAAAATGTCGATTTAGATTTTTTGCACGATTATAATACACGAGCCGACCCGCTGCTTATCATACGCCGCTATTTAGTTGTTTTTTTTCTACTTTTCAGTAATTTATAATTTGTGAATTCGACAGTACCAATGCTGCCACTGAAAATATTTGCTTAAAAACACTAACCCCCCCCCTCCCCCCCCCCCCCACGTGAAAGCAGCCTCCTCTTAGTTACCTCCTCTAAGTTTAAAATCGTTTCAAACTAAATTATCTGCCCCTAATAGCCGTCACCAAACCCGTCTCTGTGATTGTAAAATGTAAACAGCGTGAACAGCGTGAACCACAGCTCACCATGCCATGTGAGGGGGTGGGGGTGGGGGTGGTAGCGATAGAGAGGAAGAGAGAAACTGTAAGGCGAACTTGCAGCTTGTTTTCTAACGGCTCCCAGAAGAGAATTATATATATAGATATTTTATATTATGTATACGATAAAGTAGTGACTTATAAAACGGCGAAAAATGTCCAAAATTATTTAGTTTTTGTGCACGATTACCAACGATCTATGTTGGGTAGAAAATTTGGATCAGTGAACAAAGACATCTCTTAGGGTTGCCAGGTGTCCAGTTTTGAACTGGACAGTCCAGTATTTGAGCAGACTGTCCAGGATAAAACAAATATAAATACTGGACAAGTATATGAATAGTACTGTTACCCCCCTTCTTCTGCTTAGCGGCATACCTGAGAAGGGAAGGATGGAAAGGTGTCCAGTATTTTCGGAAAAGGTATCTGGCAACCCTAACATCTCTAGACCGTAGGACTGTAGGGTTGTAGGACTATATGACTGTAGGACTGTAGGGTTGTAGGACTATATGACTGTAGGACTGTAGGGTTGTAGGACTATATGACTGTAGGACTGTAGGGTTGTAGGACTATATGACTGTAGGACTGTAGGGTTGTAGGACTATATGACTGTAGGACTGTAGGGTTGTAGGACTATATGACTGTAGGACTGTAGGGTTGTAGGACTATATGACTGTAGGACTGTAGGGTTGTAGGACTATATGACTGTAGGACTGTAGGGTTGTAGGACTATATGACTGTAGGACTGTAGGGTTGTAGGACTATATGACTGTAGGACTGTAGGGTTGTAGGACTATATGACTGTAGGACTGTAGGGTTGTAGGACTATATGACTGTAGGACTGTAGGGTTGTAGGACTATATGACTGTAGGACTGTAGGGTTGTAGGACTATATGACTGTAGGACTGTAGGGTTGTAGGACTATATGACTGTAGGACTGTAGGGTTGTAGGACTATATGACTGTAGGACTGTAGGGTTGTAGGACTATATGACTGTAGGACTGTAGGGTTGTAGGACTATATGACTGTAGGACTGTAGGGTTGTAGGACTATATGACTGTAGGACTGTAGGGTTGTAGGACTATATGACTGTAGGACTGTAGGGTTGTAGGACTATATGACTGTAGGACTGTAGGGTTGTAGGACTATATGACTGTAGGACTGTAGGGTTGTAGGACTATATGACTGTAGGACTGTAGGGTTGTAGGACTATATGACTGTAGGACAGTAGGGTTGTAGGACTATATGACTGTAGGACTGTAGGGTTGTAGGACTATATGACTGTAGGACTGTAGGGTTGTAGGACTATATGACTGTAGGACTGTAGGGTTGTAGGACTATATGACTGTAGGACTGTAGGGTTGTAGGACTATATGACTGTAGGACTGTAGGGTTGTAGGACTATATGACTGTAGGACTGTAGGGTTGTAGGACTATATGACTGTAGGACTGTAGGGTTGTAGGACTATATGACTGTAGGACTGTAGGGTTGTAGGACTATATGACTGTAGGACTGTAGGGTTGTAGGACTATATGACTGTAGGACTGTAGGGTTGTAGGACTATATGACTGTAGGACTGTAGGGTTGTAGGACTATATGACTGTAGGACTGTAGGGTTGTAGGACTATATGACTGTAGGACTGTAGGGTTGTAGGACTATATGACTGTAGGACTGTATGAGCAGACTTAAGTGTAGTTCCTGCTGAGCTATGTGTGACAACTCCTGACACAAGAATGGTGGGGATAAGGGGAAGTGTTATTTAAAAGCCCCCCGAAGAGATGCCTGGAAGAAACTCTGACCGAAACTGAAACTAGAATTACGTGGTGTAAATTCTGACCAAAAGTCCCGCGATGAAAAAAAAAGTGTTAGCATTTCCTGGCATCCTATTGTCTAAATATAGAATAGTTTCTCGGAAAGCGGATTCTGGCTATAACCGCCTTGTGTAGAATCATTCAATGCTGATGACGTCACGTCATGCACCGTCTGCTGTCCACATAAACGTTCACATAAACGTTGGCTTGGAGAGGGGCTGAGAGGTCGTGTTAAAGGTTATTTGACGGACCCTATATGGGCATGTTGTGGGGGTGAGGTGAAGTTAAAGAAGTTCGGACGGATG